TGAATCTAAAACTCTCTAATGGATTGATATGTTACACTTCATTGAGAAAACAGTGTGTCCGGCACCTGGAAACTGCTAAACCAAGAGAGATCTAAAAAGGGCTCTTAACTTGCACATGCATCATCGATTAGCGAGAATCGAGCGAGCGATCATCGTCATTCATTAAATAAATATGAGTCAAGAGATCATATAACAGAACAGGTCAAACGTGTCGTTCCTAGAAAGGGAGTTGAATTATAAGAAAAAGGGAAAAACAAGAAATTCTGTATCAATCATATAAGTTTCATAAACTATGTATTTGTTAAAGTAAACTGCCATTATCTCTTTGCGACCAGATGGCGGAATTTAACAATTTATGGACAGGATCGGAAAATAGTGAGTAATAACTACAAATAGATATTTTGGCGTTTTTAAATGGTACTCCGTACTGCCAACGTCAGTAATACGGTACTGAAATATGAGATTATTGTCCGCTGTTTTTGGTCAAACATTTTATCAACATATAAGCGATAATTAAAATTAACTACTGGCGCCATCGGTCTGACAAACATTGAATTTCTGCGCTTAAGTTTCTTAGTAATGTCTCTAATTGTTCTAACTTGGGGATCTTTGACGTTCCAAAAAAAAGAAAATTTAAACGTATCCTGTGTTGAACGTTATCTTTGAGTTTTAATTGCTTTAAATTTTGTTTGCTTTATTGACCAAACCATTCACGTAATTTATAAAACATCTTCAGTAGCAACCTACTCAGACAAGTTTGCTCAGAATTAAGAAGCTTTTTGACACCAAAAGTTGGTAAACATGTAACCGATCAAAGGAGCTGAAAAATTTGAGGTGCGTACGATATAAAACTTTTTAACAAGAATGGCAGATAGAGATGTTTGTAACTACAATATTTCGTAATCATCTATCAATTTTGATCATCCTGACAGAGGACATATTCATGTCCAACGGCCACAAGTGCGCCGTATGTGAAATATTCACCTGTTAGGGTCAGGACTTAAAAGACCTTTTCCGCTTCTCTCTAGCTAGCTTTTTCTCCCCAGAAATGCTCAATCCTTAGTACCAGGCTAACGAGTTATAAATTGCTAGAGAACGAGTTGGATTTGCGACTTGGACTGACGGGACCATTTTAACTTTGGGTGAAAGTGGTCATTTGAAATTGTGTGTTACCTTTGTAAAGCCAAACAACATTGGAGTACTTTTATGTAAGGTACGTCACGGCTCACCAGTGAATTAGAATTGCGACTGGTTAAGTTTGAGTGAGTGAAGTCGTATCAGGTAAGTCGGGTTTATTTCTCTTTCCAATGAAAAAACTGAAATTAATGAAAACAATGAGTATTTGCATTTCGTGAGACAGGCATGTAGACAACAGAAACTATAAAAAATAATAATAATTAATAATAATAATAATAATAATAATAATAATAATTTATTCACTTAATATAGCGCCTTTAGACATTAATATGATCAAAAGCGCTAGAGGCAGATCAAAGATAGTTTGACAGGTGTAATAGTCGGCTTAACTTCCCTTTAAATTGACTCCTAGTAAAAAGGTACTGTTTTTATTTATTCATTCGTTCCAGTAGGAACGACTGAGCATTTCCAGTAAAGCCAACAGAAAATTCGCCATAATTTGGGAAGAAAATAATTGGAGTGGTCATCTCTAATATAAAAGAAATGAATCTTTAGAAACAGGCTTAAAATAACTTTCAAATATACTTCAGGCAGCTTATGATTCAAAAAAATCATAAACAATAATAAACATATATGTCTATAAAAACGAAATATAAAGTCATTGAAGTATAGTTAACTGTTTAATTATTTGTTTTTTATTGTTTCATATTTTTATCAGGTTTTTAGTTCTTTATTTCGAGGCTAAATTTATACAGTTTCACTGATGTAAAACAGAGCAGAAGTTGGAATCAGAATACTATATATCCTTGACGGAAAGAGTGATAGCGGTCGGCTAGCGCGATGAACACTCTGCATGAACACCGTAGCTCAGTCGATTGATACCAGCTGAAAATCGTAGCAGTGTTTGAAAGCAATTCTTAGCGCTTCATGATAAAACGCTTTCATTGCAATATTAGCCACATAACGTATAAGTATAAAGATTATTCTAAAAGAACAACGCACAAAAAGGCATAAACAGGACCCCGTCACTATGGCATAAATTTCAACTGCTTATCAGCAAATAAAAAAATTCCTTCCGAGTCGTAGCGTCGGGTGTTCCGCAAAACAAACGTTTTCGATTCAGCACATAAAGAAACCAGATGTTAAATGGAAAATTCAGGGAACACTTTATTTTTAAAAGTTCAATTCTTAAACATCTACGCTCATACAGAAAAGATACAAGGAACATTCCCAGTGAACTACATCAGTAAAGATCGCGCGACCTGTTGTCAGTACTTTCTGCAATACAACTACGTATCGGAGTCATAAGTCGAATGCCTGTTAAAACGTTTCATGTTCGATGGATTGTTTCCTCAAACCTCACACGACTTCCTGTACAACAAAAGATTGCTGAGTTTTTTCTTTCTGATCCCAGGCACTCGATAAATTAAATTGTTGCAGACAATCGGAAGTCATGTCGCAGATCAGCTTCACTCGCCGCTGCGTCCCATTAGTAGTCCACGGCTGTATCGAGGAAACCCTTTTCAACTCTCTTTACATACTTATTGTTTAAAAAATGGTTTACCTGGTGCCGGCTCAATATTTTTTAATACAGTTGCAACTCATCAATCATTTTTTTAAATAGTTTAACAAACGAGAAAGGAGTTAGTAACAAAAAGGTGTAACCGTGCACAGCAGCATCATAATGTTCGCGTGTTTCATTTACTTCAAAAGCTTGTCCGTTTTCTCTTTGCGGCTGTTTAGAACCTTTCTTTATTCGTTGTCACGGAATGGAGCCATGTTTCAGACGGTTTTAACCTTCGAGCTGCCGAAATTGACCTTTTCCTGCTGCGACGGTTGCGGATTTACCAGTACAAGCTTGCAGATCGGGACAACTTTATTTATCATGCTCTGCTATATCTTGATATTAAAGTGTGAAAACATGGAACGGTTATCCAGACAGTTTTAGCTCTTCTCAAGCTTTAGAAATTTCTAGGCAATATTTGCTCCTTCGAACAGTTATTTTACAGAATATGGTCGCTGGGTGCTCCTGAGTTTTGTAAAGATAGTTGTTTTCAGTGAGGATCACTATATGATATAGGATCGAAACGCACCAATCATTATCAGTTTGGATGCTTCGGCGAGGTCTGCCAGTCGAATATTCTTACTTCGTCAAAGATTCCTTGTATTTGAAAATGTGTATTTCTTTTCTTTTCTCTTTTTCCTTCAAAAAGTGGGGACTGTGTTTCAAATTACGCATCAGCTGGCATATATTTTTTTAAGTTCTTTTTCTTTTTTCTTCTTTGAGCGTCGCATATACGAGTCAGTAAATCTATGTTCTTTGTTGCTATCTAGACTGCAAGGTTATCCCAGTGTAGAGCACCTTTATCTAGCCGATTCATTGCTTGCAAGAGCTGGTTCATAGAAGCACTTATCTATTTACGACATTGTCCTCAGAAATTTTGTTTTCTTCTAATTCGATCCAGTAACTGTCTGATATATTACACAATGTTTCAAGCGCATCAGTTGCCTAGTTTTTGTTTATTTCGTGTAGCATGCATGTATACAACTGAGGAAGAGCCTGCAAATAAACTTTATCTTTGTTGGTTTTAAATACGGCTACAAGGTTATCCCTTGTAGACCAGTTTATTTCTTTTATTTGGCCGGTTCATCGCTCAAGAGTTGGTACATAAAAGCACTCTTATTTATGACTCTGTCCATTCACAATTTCACTTAAAAAGTTTGTGTAATATTATTACTATTTTATCGCATTTTTCTCGGTTCTCAGAGACTGTTCAGTTCGTTATTGGATTGCGTTCGGAAAGTGCTGATTTTAGCCATTTTTGACAGAGAAAAACCACTTGTTTCCCCATCACCGACAATAATTTTGTACTCCCTCTGTAAATTAACTGAAAACCACCGGGTATTGCATGGAATTTTTGTTTTGAATACAGAACAAAAATTATTGAAAGTTTATGGCAACAACATGCAAGCTAGCAGACTCTACTGATGTATCAGTTAATCTGCATAACGAGAGACTCGGGTTCAGTCTGACCTCATACACTCAGCTACACTGCATACGTGGTGGATCAATAGGGTTAGTACTTATAGTTAGCCTAGATGACCAATTTTGATTTCTCTGTTTCACGGTTTCCGCATCTATGGGACGATACACTTTTTGTAATAAGTGAATTAAGGGAGTTATTGACTGGAAATAGCTTTGAAAATTGTAGTAACATCAAAGGTATTTGAGCCTGCAGCTGCTTGGATCTTTCTCTAAAAATACATCAGTATCGGGGAGATAAAAAAAACTGTCTTATATTTCGTTTTTTCGTTGTTCTTGAATCGCGGTTTCAACTCTTTCTTAGTAAGCTTGAATGCAGGGCTTTTGACATTGACTTCAGTGCAATTCAATAAACTCAAGAACATGGTCTGCGATCGGATAAATTTCCTGAGGGTACTTCTTGATCTAAGTTGTCCCCGGGGTATTATTCCGGCTATATAACTTACTGATAGGATCATATAGTTATCCCGATTATATTATAGCTATGCCCGTTGGGTGTGTATAAATACCCCTTTTGGTCTGAAAATGGTGGAGAGAATTTATCCCCAGTTTTAACCTGAAATATAACAGAGTAAGGATAGTCACATTTTTTGGTGTGAAATCAGGGGTAAGGGATTTAGGAATTATATTACGGCGCACATGTACAGCCCCACCGCAATTTTCCAGGGCCTCCTCTTCCCACCCCGACTCGTGGTTATGCATCGGTTCTCCTTCACCAAAGAAATTCATTGACACTTTTAAATGTCGATGAATATTATTCAATATTTTTATATGTCAATGAATATTATTCAACATTATTTTATTTTTACAAGCTTGGACGATGGCTGACATGACAACATTGATAGTTATCAGTTCCTTTATCATGTTCCCAGCTGTGATGATGGCACAGGAAGTCGTAAACCATGGAGGTAATGACTAATGACATCAGGACTAAAATTTTATTGCGCACCTGTTTGTAGGTATTATGTTTAAGCACCCTGTTGCTGTTTCATATACAGAAAGCTGTCAAAAAATCATTCTGAAGTTAAAAAAAAAATGAAATAATGATTTTTACACATAAAAAATGTGCGATCAAGACTTCAAAACCAGCCAAACGCCTTCGTTCAAGACTGATCCTCTGTTTTACTTTCTTAATAGATTTTAAATGAATTTGTATCTTAGAAAATCGTGCTATTATTATTATTATTATTATTATTATTATTATTATTATTATTATTATCATCATCATATGCATCATCAACTTCATTTTTCTATTGTTATAAAATTATAATTATTCCTGTTCCTATACTACCGTGGCGAAGGTTTATAATAGGGAGCTTATCAAGCAAGAACGACGGCGACGGTTACGAAAACGTCAATATTGATATCTGTATTGTACTCTGCTTATTGACCTGATTGGTTAATTAAGTCTCGATCTGATTGGTCTTGTGTCAGTTAATAAGCCGTGTTGTTATTGGCTATGAAGACTCGGGTCGTTTCGATCAGTCTTTTGTCACAGTTTAACAGCGACGATCCAGCGACAAGAAACGGTGATGTCAACAATCACACTTCTTATTGCTGAACATGCACCATTTCCAGACGAAACATTAAATCGACCGGGGTTCTGCGACACGTATTACGATTCTACAGACTACCATAACTAGTACTCATCTTAGAAAGCTGGCTTACTAAATTAGACCAAAAGCCACTGGAATGGCAGTCAACGGGCACGGTACAAACGACTTATGGCAGACTCAAGCAAAACTGACAAAAACAGAAGTGACTTTGTAGGCAAGAGACAATTTGACTAACAACAAACGACTGTAACAACAAACGACTTTGACTATGAAGATGACTACCCGACACAGTCCTATTCAGGACTACACACTGACGATCATGCTCCACCTTCTAATGGATTTATAATTACTGTTCATTTATTGTTTTGCTGTTTCGCAGTTTGTCCCCTTCTGATGTTTAAAGAAGAAGAGCAGAAAATTAAAGAGCAGGAAAGAAACAGACAACAAATGGAAGAGATCATGAGAGAGATTGAAATCAGTTGTTTAGGCGAGTGATAAAAAACCATGGGATGAATAATTAAGTACAAGTAAAAATAACTTAAGGGTTTGGGTCGTTTTTGTTATACAAAGAACAATGTAAATTATGCATTTCTGAACCCGTTCTCTTCATTGGAAGCGTTGTCGCTCGTGGGACGAAAAAATCACGCGCGGATACCCGGGGGGGGGGGGGGTGGGGGTTGTACTCCGGATTTCAAGGAAGAGATCCTTAGAGCTTTTGTTCCAACGGCTACTCTCCATTGTATATACAACGCTCCTCATTCAATCTCAATTCGATAATAGTGATATTGTCTGGGGTAATTGTGGAAAACCTTTGTTTGACAGGCTACAGAAGCTTCAGAACCGTGCTGCTCGTGTTCTAACCTTTTCTAGATATGATGCTCATGCCAACCGCTTATTTAGACAACTTAATTGGAAAGACTTGGGCACTCAGTTTCAAATACAAAAAGCCCTAATGGTTCACAAGTCTTTAAATGATCTTTTTCCAGGATCTTTATCCTCTAAGTTGTTAAACGATGTGAAACGCGCTACTCCCTAAGGGACTCTGTTAACAAACTGAGTGGGAACTAACTTCATGAAGAACAGCTTCAGTCAAGAGGAGAAGTGATATGAGAGGGCTTAATTTTTAACACTACCAATTAACTGCACTGAAGCACACGGACCATCTCTGCGTTATGGCCAGTACCTTATGCATGCGCACAACCATATCACCCGAGCAGTAGCAACCATGGATGGCTCTGGTTTGCCCTTAGTGGGGATCATCAGCCTGGCATTGCCGTTGGGTCCATTAGGGGGAGGTAGCCGGCAAGCAGTACTTTAATCGTCAGCTCCACCGTAAACAAGTGGTAGTTGTTGGTTGGGAACTGCAAAACAGTTCTCCCACGGCATGCGTATGGAGATGGTATCAGAAAAAACTGACCTGTGTGCCCAAATAAATTTGAAACAATACCAATTAACTGCATTGAAGCACACAAATCAACTCCGCGGTATGGCCAGTACTTTACCCATGAGCCCGAATAAGGGCGAAACAGCTGTCCATGGCCGCCACTGCCGGGGTGATATGGTTGTGCGCATGTACCGCGGAGTTGGTACGTGTGCTTCGGTGCGGTTAATTAGTATTGTTTATAAATATTTAAGTCAATTTAAACGATTGGCTCATCTGAATTTCTGATTTTTTAAGTACTGTGCACACGGCATTCATGAAAAGCAGGTCTTAGTCAGGTTAGTTATAGTTTCGCATATTGTTTAGGGTAGTTAGGTTTATTTAAGATTTTTTATACTCCTGATGAATTTTACCGTGTTTAAATAAAGAATTGTTTTTTTCTATTCCTATCAGTTGAAATCCAGAGTACCCCCCACCCCACTGGCGTGGATGTAAAACCGGAAGTCACTGGACAGTGTGCAGGGGCACCCAATGGGAAATTTTAATACAACAACAAAGCATGAATAAAGCTTTCTTAAGCCATTTTAAGCATTTTGAGAGATTGCTACTAAAAATTAATCTGTTCCTCACTCCCAGGAAGACTGATGGAAGAGTTCCTAGCCACCTACAACCTGGCTTACTGGAAGTTTCCCAGCAGACGTATGTCCAGGACATTACTGGCCAGTTTTGGTGTGGTCATAGGGCAAAATTCACTCCTCAGCAGTGGGGGTGGGGGAGGAGTTTCTGATCCATAACACATAGTAACTATTCTAAACATCAAATCCCCTCAGACACATTTTTTTCTTAGCAACACTTTCCTTCCAAGGACATATTATTTCTTCCACATCTCCCAGCCAGCAAAAATTGGCCTGAAGAACAGATATTTTGAGGAACAGATCCTTTGGGTGCCCCTGAGTGTAGCCTAGCAGCACTATACGATGCGTCCTTAGGAGTGCAGTTTCGTGATTGAAGTTTTGAGACTAACGTTCCAAGTCTTTCAACAAACTTGTTTAGCAAATCACGCCGTGGTTAGTGACATTGAACGAAGAGTATTCATATAGATTATAATAATTTGAACTCAATTGAACTGTTGCAAATAAATAATTTAAACAACTCTTGATCGGCTGAAAGTGAAAACTGACTTTGCAGGTGCATTACTTTACGTCAAACAAAATCTTTTACCTACCTGTCATTTGCTGATTTGTAGATGAGTGTAAAACAGGACAACATAACTGCCACGATGATGCAGATTGCACCAACACCAAGCGTTCCTTCACTTGTACTTGTAAGCCTGGATATATTGGGGATGGTGTTAACTGTACAGGTAGCAAACCATACGGAGCTTAAACTAACAGGATTTCATCTTTAGTTTTATGCTATTCCATACCATAAAGATTAGAACCAATCAGAAAGCTGGAAACCGGTTTCATATTTAGTCAGTGGTATGTCACAGATCGGTAGTTTCTTGGTGTTGTGGGCGCGTGCAACCACAAAATGACGTCATACAAAAGATTAACAAGACACTGAACAATATCCACACCACATAACAATAGCTAACCAACAATAGTTTCCTCATCACCAAGAAACACGTACCCCACAGGTCGTATCCGTGAAAAATGTTGGTCTTAGTTGCAGCCTCCAGATCCCCGTAGCCTACGAACAGGCTCACAATTCACATGTGCGATTTCGAGGGACATTTTGGCGCGTCCATTTCCTAGCCCTATTATTCTCGCTGGCGTTGCGTGCTCGAGCCGCCAAAATTTTCTTTTTCTCAGGCTAACTCCCCCAGCGAAAGCTGTCCAAGTGTGCAACATGTAAAACTGAGTCTAAAATCGAACAAAGTCAGTTGATTATTCAGGATTAACTCTTGATTGCAGACATAGACGAGTGTAAGACTGGAAACGACCTATGTGACGCCGATATTTCAGAGTGCAAAAACATTAAAGGATCTTACAAGTGTGTTTGCAAACGTGGTATAAATACAGGTAAATATACCACCGAGCACTTCAAGATATGCTTATTGAAATGTATACTTTAAAAATGTCTTCTTCTTTTCTCCGGGTTACGTGCGATGAATAAGGTTGAAATGGCATCGACAAAATAGGAACGTGGACGGCATATTATGATGCTTTATAAAACAGATCCATGGTTTGATAATTCAGCGTTAACTCTTAATTTGCAGACAGAAACGAACACGCCACCAGTTCATTGTGCCGTAACACTAAACGATCCTTTTAGTGTGCTTGCAGGGAAGGGTATTTCGAAAGTGCCGTTGTTTAGTAAATCACGCTGTGGTTGGTGACATTGGGCGAAGAGTATAGATTATAATAATTTGAACTCAATTGAACTGTTGCAAATGAATAATTTAAACAGCTCTTGATCGGCTAAAAGTGAAAACTGACTTTGCAGGTGGATTACTTTACGTCAAATAAATTCTTATACATAACTTCCATTTGTTGATTTGTAGATGAGTGTAAAACAGGACAACATAACTGCCACGATGATGCATACTGCACCAACACCAAGTGTTCCTTCACTTGTACTTGTAAGCCTGGATATACTGGGGATGGTGTTAACTGTGCAGGTAGCAAACCTGATAAGGAGCTTAAACTAACAGGATTTCATCTTTACTTTTATGCTATTCCATACGATAAAGATTAGAGAGCCAATCAGAAAGCTGGAAACCGGTTTCATATTTGGTCAGTGGTATGTCTCAGATCGGTAGCTTCTTCGTGTTGTGGACGGGTGCAGTCACAAAATGACGTAATACAAAAGATTAACAAGACACTGTACAATATCTACACCACAAAACATTAGCTAACCAACAATAGTTTCCCCATCATCAAGAAACATTCCACAGGTCGTATCCATGAAAAATATCTGGTGTTAGTTACAGCCTCCAGATTCCCCGTAGCCTGCGAACAGGCTCACATGTGCGATTTCGAGGGAAATTTGGGCGTGCAGATTTCCTAGCCCTTTTATTCTCGCCGGCTTTGTCTGCTCGAGCCGTCAAAATTTTCCTTTTCGTGGGCTAAATTCCCCAGCGAAAGCTTTCCAAGTGTGTAACATGTAAATTGGTTTATCATTTGTATTTTTTAGTTATTTGGCATTCAATCTAACTTCCTTTTTTGTTTTGTCCACTATAAAAATTTATCATTCTTTTGACCATAAAAATATGATATATATCTATCCTCATTGGATAGAATCGACACAAAAATCGAACCCGATTGATAATTCAGCATTAACTCTTGATTTGCAGACATAAACGAGTGTGAAACTGGAAACAACCAATGTGACCCCGATACTTCACTGTGTGTTAACACTAAAGGATCTTGCAAGTGTGTCTGCAAGTCGGGTTTTTCCAAAAGTGGACATGAACATAAATGTACAGGTAAATATACCACCGAGCACTTCAAAATATCAATTGAAATGGATTCTTTAAAAATGTCTTCTTCTTTTGTCGAATTTAAGTGGGGTTAATCAGGTTGAAATGATAAAAGCATCGTCAAAATAGGAACTTATACGGCATATTATGATGCTTAACCGATCTACAGTTTGATAATTCAGCATTAATTCTTAATTTTCAGACATAAACGAGTGCGAGACAGGAAAACACAACTGTAACGCCACCAGTTTATTGTGCCAAAACACAAAAGGATCATTTAGGTGTGCTTGCAGGGAAGGGTATTCCGGAAGTGTACCTGAACATAATTGTACAGGTAAATATACTACCGAGCACTTCAAGATATGTTAATTGAAATGGGTACTTAAATATATCTTCTCCTTTTCAGGCACGGGTTTACGTGAATCAGGTTTAACAGAGATTGTGTAATTCATCAAAAACTCTCGTTTCTTTTCTTAGTTTGTCCATTTTTTTCTTTTGCTTTGCTTTGAAAATAGAGATTGGATTAAAGAGATCGGAACTAACTACTTGAAGAGCGCAAAATAGAGTGACGCACTCGCTCGAGGGCCGTGCACACTTTCCTTCATGAACTGGAATGAACGACAGAATGACACATTGTCGATGTTTTTTTTTACAGTGTTGTCAACTTGCAAGGAAATTTATAATACGACTTTGTGAGTACAGCGTACGTGATTACTATGGTGTTAGCAACATTTTTTACTAATTTTTTCGTCTCGATATAACACACAATTTTTCTCATATCATAGCAGTTTCTTCAGGTTCGGACTTTAGACAACGGCTTTCTTTGCGTACAATGTAACCACATCCCCCCCAAATTAACTGCTTAAGCTTCGTCACGTGGAGCACTATGTCAGTTAGTGTTATCTGGAAAAGGTGTTTGCAATGGTTTTTACTAGGAGCAAAACCTCCCAAGTTTGAGCTTTAATTACATATTGCGGACAACTGAGATCTCGGAAAAATAAAATCATGGCTTTAATAGACATAGAGGAAATCTTGCTAGGACCAGTGTCAATACCAAATTTTAAAACAAATTTATCGAACAGTTTCGCAGTTGTTATCGCGTTTATAGAAGTATGACACCACTTTTATGAAAAATTAAAGATTGGAATAAATTACTGAGAAATCTGAGAAAGGTCCAAGTGTCAGAATTGTTAGAAAGGAATACGAGAGAGCTTTAATTTGATAATTAAAAGAATTTCATAATTCTGATTAAATAGACTTTGAACTTGTGAGTAATCAATGCAATAGAGTGATGAAATATGTTGTATACTTCCTGATTTTTACCGTGCATATTTCTTAATCATATAAATTATTATATGTTAATCAGTATTATTCTAAGCTGTTTAAATTCGAGTGCCACACGTTCATCCGTTTGACACTCGATCTTGCTGTCACTTGTTACCTTCTTTCGTAAATCCAGTTGTCATCATCATGATCTTACTGTGCAATAAACAATCAAGAAGGCAACACTATTCAGGCTGTGTTACATTTCGCCATGTCACCTAGTGCCATAAAATGGAACTGTAGCAGCAAAGGTTTCCAAATTTTTTTGTAGTTATTATTTATATTAACTGTTGGGCCACAAGTTCAAATTTCCATCACTTCGGCTAGTGTTATGTTTGTAGCTGTCTGTCTATTAATTTTCAATAAAGTGTTTCTATTTTTAAGGTTGACATACCTCTACGACAAATTTTGTCTCATCGTTACACCCTAAAGAAAGGGTTTGCCCGATGATTGTATTGGTAGCTTTCTACCTTTCTACACGCATGGTCTATATATCAACATAGGATGATGAATGCGCGTACGACAGCAGTACCATGAATAATGATGTACACCTACAAGCATTAATTGAAAAGAGTCTGCAACTAAAAACCATCCAATATAAATACCCGGAGGATGATATCGATATTCGATGGGCTGCTGATTACTTTAAAACAAGACACATTCGATGAGCAAAAAAACCCCGTTGAGTGGCAGAATTATCAAAGTCAGGAAGAAATTTAACATTGTTTAGCAATCACATTATTTTTCAAGGAACACGATTCAATGGCCTCAGGAACTGCAAAATGATAAGCATGTTTAAAAATAACTTGAGAATACGCCCAATTTTAGCGGTTCTCACACATTCTCTCAACTGCTACGGCTAAAATTGGTTTTGTTTCGCCTTGCCCGCCGGAATGTTATTACGAAGCGAAACGAAAATTGAGCCTGATCTCAGGTTAGTTTAAAAGAATGCAAAGAACTTGAAGTGACATGCCTAACCATCTAACGCCGTGAAACCCTTGAGGACCGTTCTTTCATCGAAAGATTTTAACCTTTTGAAGTCGCTATCCCCATCAGCTCGCTCTTTAATCAAATGTTTGGACTATTTGCCTTGTTGTCATGTAACATAGTTTGTTCCAGTAGTAGCGAGCGAAAAAATACCATGCTCAATAGATTTTGTATTGTGTGAATGAAACCGACGGTATGTCAGGTACACAACTAGACTGTTCACAGTTCTCTATTTTTCCGTAAGATCATCGAGATCGAGAGCTTTGCCTTACGGGCTACCCATCTTGCATGAGTGTCAAAACTACCTAGGGGGCGGGGGCGGTTTGGGAAGTAGCGAGAAAAATAGAGGGACTGTAATATAAACGTCACTGCAGCTCGCGTTCAGGAATTTCACGCCTTTTACCATTCATTAATTAAGAAACTCCGCTGGTGATGAAAAACATGCCAGACACATTTAGCATCGATTACGTGTGTTTACAAATATCTCCTTTCGAAACAGTGATTTTATAATGTTTCTGGGCCAATTTCCTCGATCGAAATAAAATCGGCAAACATGCACAAGGAAACATTTTCCTAATCAAAATACCAAAAATCCTTCGTGTGTTTGCGCAAGATGTGCCTTATGGTATGAAAACGTACGTTTAATAGAAACGTCAACTTGTCAACGACTTTTCAATGTCGGCAACTTAAACTAAACCTGTTATCAACGCAAATTAACATGTATTGTCTAATGACCAATCAAACGCCTGCGTTGCTGGTACAACGCGCTCCGTGAACGCGAGCTGCAGTGATGTTATTACAGTCCCACTATTTTTCTCGCCCCCTCCCCACGAACTTTGATCCCCGACGCCCGCCCCCTCGGTACATTTGAAAATCAAGATAGCCGTGACGGAAAGACGCGGTATATCTAAACGATCTCACGAAAAAATAGGGGACTGTGAACAGTCTAGTCCGATGGTGTCCGCCATGACGCCATACAGTAGTTTGACGTCACGGCGCATTTTTGTTTCTAGGCAACATTCGACTGAAAGCAATTTCGAATTCCATTAATGACCACAGTATTCATGAAGAGCTGTCTTTTCATCGTCTGCAAAACAATGTTTACTATCGGTGAATCTCAAGACATTTCTCATGCAAACAGAACAGCAAACACAAGAACCCCGAATTGTCAATCCTCGCAGGGGAAGATTTGACACCGAAAGATCCTCTGGAGCGAGAACGCCCACTTCAAATTCAACGGCGCAAGCAACAAAGATGGAGACGGCATCAACAAACAGCGGAGCAGAGGGTACATCACTCAATGAATTTCGAACGCTAAACTACTTTAAGAGCAAATGGAAGCGATTTTGGATAATTAGCCTTAACATATGAGCGAACTTCACGGTAACAAAACACATTTTGCTCGCAGACGAGTTTCAGTACCGTATCGGCCTAGACTGTTGGGCTTCCATTCTTTACATGTAAATGCGATGAAATGCATTTACGTTGGGTTTTTACTGTTGAAACTGCAGTCATTCTTCTGAAAAATATCTATGAATTCACGTTTAATAAGGCTGGAAGGTTTTAATAATAACATTTCGACAATTTTCCTCGTGTGTTCCACGTGGCCTGGTGGTAAAGCTTTGCCCCGGAGTGTCGAAAGTCCTGAGTTCGATTCCGGGTATAACCTTGAACCGCCAGAGGTAAGTCATTTATGTAGATGATAAATAATAACGAGCCGCCAAGTACGCTACCCTGGGGGACCCCGAAAGATATAGGCTGGGGCTCAGACACGACCCCATTGGTGCAAACACTTTGGGTGCACATTGTTACGTAGGACCTAAACCATTGGACAGCAGAGCGATTCATTCCTAGTCAAGTTAACTTATCTAACATGATGCTATGATCAAAGGTGTCAAAGGCCTTGCTTAGGTCTAAAAATATAAGGCCAGTTAATAGTCCTTTGTCAATGTTTTCCAGCAAAGTGTTTGTCACGTGTGTGAGGCACAGTCAATGCGCTTTTCATCCGTTTCACTCCAAGATACAAGGTTATTAGGTACGAAAAACAGTTCAGGGACGATTTCACTCAACTTCATTTGAGGTCGTTTATGCTTTAATTAGAGGATCCTAACGAACAAGTAATCGCGTTCAATACTCTTATTTCGGACTGTTTAGAGTGACATGCACCCTTAAAGCGTGTGAGGGTGACAAGACTACCTGCGCTCTGGTTGAATGATCCGAACATTCGAACGCTGCAGGAGGCAAGCAAGAACGCACTCACCCCCTCACAGTGAGGCTGCGTGCGACATCTTCAAAGACTCCCGCAACAGCCTTAAGAAACTGATTCGGAAAGCAAAGAGAAAGTTTATGACCAATGCACTCTCGTATAAGCGGCCCAACGAAGTATGGAAGACGATCCATTGTACTTCACCCTAGCCATCAATCAATAACTGTCTATCCGGAAAATAAGCACTTTGCTTCTGCAGCTGAGCGTGTCGATGCCTCAGTAGGGACTTCAAGATCCAACGACACGGACGGCAACAAGAAGGTCAAAAAAACAATAAGTTTAATATAAAGCAAAACAACAACTTTGCACGTGCATCACACTTTTTTTGTACATTTCTCTCCCTTTTTTGCACGACTACGACGTGAAAATGTCTTATTTCGTTCGCTTTTTAAGGAGGACGTAAGCAAGCAACGACGAAATTTTATTTCTCTTTCTGAGCTTATATGAAGGTCACTTGAAGTTCAGCATCAGGAGGGTTTGCCTACATTTGACAAAGTAAGTGGGTAGGAATAATCACTATAAAGACTGAAAGAACGCAAATTCACATTTTAAGAGACGTTCTCGTTGTCGTCGCATCGTTGGATCTTAAATTCCTTAGTGGCAGTTGATAAGGAGGAGTTGCATAGGCGTATTAATGTGCGTGCGCAGGACCCTGATACTTCCTTTCGTCTGAAGAGTGTTACCTATCATGAAGTTATTCGGTAGATCAAAGCGCTGCGGTCCGACTGCTCTACTGGTCCGGATAACATTCCAACCAAATTCATCAAGCAAGTACCAGACCAATTAGCATCGCCTTTAACGCATATCTTAAGCACGTGCATTTCGAAACTGGACTTTCCAGCTCTTTGGAAGGTTACACTCATTAGTCCCATTCCGAAGGTGGGCGAACCCCAGGCAAATGACGATTTTCGCCCTGTTTTCATTTGGCCTGTGTTATCGAAGGTTTATGAAAGACTGTCTTGACGACAAATTGTGGAGTTTCTCACGGAAACTGTTGCGCTTCAGACAAACGTAAGTGCATCCCGCAAAAGCCACTCAACTACAAATACTTTGCTTGCAATAAGAGATGATATCCTTAAGGTAGGAGTAAGAGTAAGAAGTTTATTGTACACTCCCCTGCGGGGCTTTTCAGTGATACAAGACAAAGCTATAATTCGTTATCAAGTATATACAAAAAAAATATCTGCCTAAAAAGAAAAAAAAAATACTTAAGTTTCCCTTTTGAAAATTCCTATAATACAATAAAAAGTTAAAACCTACAAAACGTTCGCTGGATCAAGAAATTTATGTAACAATATTTGCCTCAGTTTCTGTTTAAAATCCCTATGATTTTTACTTAATTTGAGGTCTTTATCTAGGTTGTTACACAAACTGACAACTCTGTACTGGAATGATAGCTGGCCAGCAGCTGTTTTAAATAAAGGGATATTTAATTGTTGTGAATTGCGTGTCACTCGGCCAGAAACTTGACCTCTGGTAACTAGCTTGGATGTGATGTAATCTGGGACACAGTACAGCCCGTCATACATATAAACGCAAAAACAGCGTCCCTTAAATATAATTGCTGTCCTACAGGTAACCAGCACAAATCCCGGAGAACTGAAGAGATATGATCGAATTTTCTCGCTCCACTAATTATCCGGGCGGCAAAGTTCTGTACGTGTTGCAATTTACGTATATTAATCTGTCAAAAGTGTTAGACCAGACCGCCGAGCAGTAAAATAATTTACAAAAACAAGCGCAAGCGAATATTAACGTTAAAAGCCGACCTTTCGGTATCATCATGACACCATTCTCAAGGCAAAATGAATAAATAATGCGAAGATTTGATTTCTATAGTCTCTACAAATTAGCATAATAACAAAGGATCACAAGTTCTTCAAGTGAATACCTTTGCGCGAATCGAGTCAACCTGCACTTTTGATGGTTTGAGTTTTCTTATAAAGAGCATCTCCTTAATTAGGCAGTCAAATTTGTTAGAACCTTTAGTGAGCACGTGAAATTGTTCTGAAAGAAAAGGTGGTACGTCCGAGTTATGTTAGCTAAGATAATGTTTACAAATTGACGACGATTTCTGTTTGTGTCCATTAACGCGTTCGTGGAGGTGGCCGCGAGTATAACCAACATATCCTGCATCGCACAGGTTACATTGAAATTGATAAACTAAACATTGTTGGTTAGCAATGGCTGGCTTGTCTTCTCGAAATTTAAGGTCTTCTTTGAGTTTTCTGCTGATGAACACGGGCTGAATAGTGGTCTTGATTTTTAAGCTGAGGTCTGTGAGACGTTTTCTCACTATATTAGCAGAGACCTGATCTTTAAATGGTATGACAACTCGGATGGGGGCTGGAGTCGTGTCGGTTGATGGAATTTGCTGCTGATCTGCTACCTTGGAATCTACGAATTGTTTGACAGCCGGATTGAATAGGTGCCTCGGGTACTTAAGCTTTAGGAATACAGTCTCAAGCCGATCGCATTCTTGTGAGAAGTACGACCAGTCGGAAGATATGCGGTAAGCTCGAACTAACATGGTGGTAATTAGACTGCGCTTGTACCGATTATCCACGTGGCTCTGGTAGTGGAGTAAAAGGCCCGTATTAGTTGGATTTACGTAGACCTTGGTCTTGATTCTGGGAGCTAAGTTTAACAGTTCAACACCGATGAAAGGAAGCGAGGCATTCCGTTCAACTTCCATAGTAAACTTTGCTGATGGGTGGCAGTGGTTTAGGGTATCAAGAAAGCACGTTAATTAAAATCGCTAGAAAGTCTAAATTAAAAGAGTGTTTTGCGCAGTTTGTCTGGGGTAGCTTAGAAACACATAAAGCAGTGAGAGCTGAGATATGGCAATCAAATGTCAGGGTAGGATCAAATATCACACCTAAGTCATTTACGGAGTCTGCAGGTAATGAACAGAGGTGAGGTCACCATTGCAATTATGGCAGACTTTTCTAAAGCTTTTGATACAGTTGTGTATGAGACATTTCTGTGCAAATTGCGTAAGCTAGGGTTTTCCAAGTCCTCTCTACATTAGATCGTACGTTATTTGACTGATGGAACGCAGTACGTCCAAATCGATGATCGCTCGTTGGAACGCATAAATGTGTCTTTTGGGGTACCTCAGGGATTCATTTTGTGTCCCCTTATTCAACCTTTATGTCAACGACTTGACTGACGTACTCCCAGCCGAAGTAAATTGCCATCAATATACGAACGATATAACGATTTATAGTCACTGTAAACCATCTGAGCTTCAGATTTGTCAGGCGGAGATGCAGGCTGTCTACATCGTCATCCCGATGTAACTTGGCGCTCCATCCTAACAAGACTAAAGGTGAATGCTTCTTTCAACTCCCCAGATGTCACGAACTCATGGAATAGACACACACTCCATCCACCTCTGCCGAATGGAAAGGGTCTCGAGCGAGTTTCAACTTTCCGTCTACTTGGTACGGAAGTGCACGAAAACGTCAACTGGAAAAGACAGATAAATTACAAGATCTCAAGCTGTTGCGCAACTATTTACAAGATCTCAAGCTGTTGCGTCACTATTTACAAGTCATTGATTCTTCCGCATCTCGATTATTGCAGCGCTGTCTGGGGCTGTATCGGTAATGGTCTCAGCCAAAAACTAGAGAAGCTTCAAAACAGGGCTGCACGCATAATTACAGGGTCTAGCTGGGATGCCAGCTCTGCCCCGATTCTTCATGCCCTTAAATGGGATAGCCTCGCTGACAGACGTGCTAAGCAACTGAAATCTTTAATGTTTAAAACTGTAAATAACCTTGTACCCGAATACCTATCTGATAACTTCGCCAGCATTAATACCATTCACAGGCATAATCTTCGAGGTGCGCAACATAACCTGTTTATTCCGCGACCGAACACTGAGGCAATAAAGAAAAGTTTTCGTTATAGGGGCGCAGTAACATGGAACAGCCTGACAGCTGAGGCTAAGCAGGCCACTACTTTAAATTGTTTTTATTCCGCTATGGTACATTAAGATTTTCTTAGTAAGCATTTATTATAGGACTTTTTCAATAATGTTTGTTATTTTTAAGACTTAGTTTAATGTGCACGGCTCTTTAGAAGACCACTTTTTAGTGATAAGGATTCCGTGGTTAAATAAAGTTATTACTTACTTTGTCTGTACTGAAGAAGCTCAAATACCTTGCCCTGTATAATATCAGAAAACACTTGGCAGAGAGTCTTATTTTGTCAAAGATCGATTATAATGACATAGTCAGTGATACTATAGCAGACTATCTTGTTAAGAGACTTCAGCGAGTACAGTTAGCGGCTGCTAAGCTGTCTACGTGTAACTATGTGACTACGATGTAACTATGTGACTACACGGACACTCCATCAATCTCTGCGCAAATGGAAAGGGTCTCGAGCGAGTTTCAACGTTCCGCTTAACGGCTGCTAGTTTTGTTTTAGGACGCTACGCAACCGGTAATAATAATAATCATAATACTTATTATTCATTCAAAATATTTTCCCGATTCTGATTGGCTAAAAGCACTCGTTTAATTAACCATAACCAGTGACTGATGACCAAATTTGGAAGAATTTTGTGCTTAACGAGGAAAAGACGTCAAAAATGCAGCGTTTTCGCAGGTTAAGGCACCGTTAACCGAGGAGACCTGGGGAGGAGGTTGAGTTGATTGTGAACTTGAAAAATGGCGGACATTTCACTCGTTTCAAGAGTAAGAACTAGTCGAAAACATAGCTAAAAACGTGCTCTATCGAAGATGAACTTAACATCGATGGATCGATGGAGGTTAGCATGTTTTAGCCATGTTTTTAAAGTAGGAATTACTTTGAATGAATAATAAAACAATTATTGAATTCGGCTTTCGTATCATATGAAGAATTATGGAGATCTCGGAGGGTGTTATCCGCCTCGGCCTACGGCCTCGACGGATAACACCCTCCGAGATCTCCATAATTCTTCATAATATACTCAGCCTCATTCATTAATTGTTAATTATATAGCGCCAATATCAATATTGCTATTTTCCGATATCAATATTGCTATTTTCAACCAAGCTTGATTTGCTTTATTAAAGACGTTCATACACTCCCATAATTCCCTCGAAAACCATACCCCATCCCAGACTAAAATGAGCAAAGTCTATACCCGGCCGTTTTCAAACCAAAACGGCCCAAAAACCCTACGCTTTGGGGCAGCACATATCTGGCTTATATAAGGGACCCCCCCCGATAACTGTAGGCCCATGTGGGTTAATGTTGTCTAATTCTATGGTGGATAAGGTGACTCCGCTGTTTTTTATTAAAACAATCAATAAGGGCTGCAGAGCTGCTAGCTAGGAAATGCAGTGCTCTTCCGATTAAATTGTATTTATTCGAGAGAGCGCCTTTTGATTTTCCGACTTTATTAGAGGGCGGCGCTCTTTCAAGAAACTACGGTTTTCATTTCATATGAGGGCCTTATTACTCTTGTGGTTCACCTGCATTACATTTGAAAACTTTTACATTTGTGGTCAATTATCACATTTCTGGCTTCAACGGTCTTACTATCCGTTTTACTGCTTTCCGAGCGGGTACATATAATTCCTTTTTTTACGCTGCACCACACGATTCAAATAACCTTCGCTGCCTTCGGCTGGTGATCAGTTTTGTAACCGTGCGTTTGTCGAGGTATATCAATTGTTCATTAAGTTTTTCTTTGTTGTAAGGTCGACATTGCTCCATACCAAATGTCCGTTTTGTCCGCGACGTGCGAAAGATTGTCATATTCTTTGTCTATACTTATTTTTTTATGTCTCCAAATCCAATCGTTTATTGCATCTGATTGAATATGAGGACGGTCACTTACTAAAACATGCAGAGAAAACAAATCTTGCTTGAATCGATGCAGTGCCTCAAAAATAATATCATTATATAAATATCTATTTACTAGGAAGCGTGAAAACAAAGCCTACTTCCTGAATGTGGAGTCTAAACTAATTCCTGTGTACTGTCACATGAAAGCTGCTGAGCTTGGAGCATGCGGAGGAGGTGGATGGACGCTGGTCATGAAGACCGATGGCGAAAAGGTAGCAGCAGCGATGCAACAATTTTTGCCCTCGCAGGGATTTCGCCCAGGAGGCGAAATCCCGAGGAGGCACTCTAGTAACTCGCGCGTATATTAAGGAAAGTACTTACAGTTGGAATATACAGTCAGTATGCCAGAAAAAATTTCGACTTCAGTGCTTGAACAGGGCCCGCGAGGAATCGGTACGTAATGATGACGTTTCTATTGTTTGCGCCCGCAAGTACTAAATGGTTAGGATGACGTAAAGACAAAAAATCGCGAGGGGACCGGTTAGGTAGATTTTGTGACATTTACTGTGCAGTCATACTTCGATACTCTTTTGCGTTACGTGTTATCAGTGACATTCTGTGGAGCAGTTGTTTTGAAAGTTATGGACCAAAAGACACTCGTTAAGCGCAGATGAAGTTCTAAGGTGCGTATAACTGTGTATATAAATGGAGAGTTTGCCAGACACGAGTTCACAATTTTTTGATTGGAAACCTTGCCAAAAACTCTTTCTCTCTCTTTGTCAAGACTCAGCCCCAAACAAGCAAGACGAGTGAACAACGGCTAGCTTATCACTAGCAGAACGATGGATGATTACAGAAATTCGCCGACAATCGAATTCTGTGCTGACTTATTCCCTGCTCACAGATGTCCTTCCGCTATAAAGTTTAAAATAAGACTAGAATGCCCGAGCGTGAATTGATCAAACGTCCTTTTAATTTCTAAGGCTTACTTTCCGGCAAATAAAATGAACTGAATGTAAAACGTGAAAGAGAAAGAGCGAAAAATTCTACTTCTAATTAAATCTTTTCTTATGGTTTAGAATAAACTATTCTCGAAACTGAGAATGTTTTGATCAAAGTTGTGTAGATCGAACTGAAACTGTGCATGGAACCTTGCGTTTCCTGTATTTATCTCACCTATTGTATGGAGTATGTGTTAAAATCTTCATTATGAATCGGTATATTTCAAAGAGCTACACAACGAGCAAGAATACAGTACTATTGACCGACAATATACAGAAAGGGGGCAGCTGTAGTGTCAACTGTTAGTAGTAGTATTCATTGATAATATGTTTCCCGCGTTCATGATTGGCTCCAATCCCCCGACGAATTCTTCATAATCAACCGCCGTTTACCATATTTGGAAGATGTAGGACTGAATATACATGATCGATTCTATGGTATATTGCCTATTATTAAAAACTGACTCATTGGATAATGCAATTCTAGTGCTCTGATTGGCTTAGCCATCATGGTATATGAGCCATTATACCATGCTCTCCAAATATGGTAACTGTACGCGTCTGCTCAAAATTAAAAACAAGCTGAAAATCGGTTGTCTTTACAAATAAAGTTGGGAAGAATTTTCGATACTGTTTTGCGGGCGTTTTTGATAAAACAATTATTCTACTCGCCCTTGTTGGATATGAGATGATTATAGCCATCTCGGCGCTACGCGGCCTCGTTGGCTAACCCACTATTTCATACCCAACGCGCACTCGTGGAATAATTGTTAAATGACTCATCGATCAACCTCGAGCAGTTTACTTTAAACTATTTTTTTGCTAAAATTGCGACCGAGAATTGCTAGCAAATCAGTTTTGCGTCAGATTGCAATCCTGGACTGATAAGTGAACAGCGGAGCTGGTTTTAGGAACGTAACTAAACAGCTTTTAAGCAATTAGCTGAAAGGAAGCGAACATACCGTCAGCTTTTGGCTGGGGGTACAGGTATTGAAATATCAAATTTGGAAATTGCCAATCCATACTGGACCGCACGGTATGGGAGTCTGTTGTGTAAACCATTCCGGCTCATGTTTAAAATTTGCTGTTAGGTAAATTTGAAGCTTTGGTATGAATGGGGCCTGAAGGGCGTGATTTCAATCCAGTGCAACCCTTGGGGCAAGTTTTTTTAATAGCGCACGAACAAAACGTTTATTTTCTGAAAGGTTGATAGTTTCAGATGAATTGTTAGTTTTACAATGAAGGAGCAGAATTTTTGTACAGAAATTGATTTTATTTAATTTTTACCCTTTTTGGCATATTTCCTACCATAATAATGTTGCGCAAAAGTGGGAGATCCGAGATAGCCCGTGAGGAGAATCTTGTGTACCGCTCGCAAAAATGTTACCGCGAAGGTTTCTTACAAGAATAGGGCTTTACTGACAAACCATGAGGCTAATTTGGCTCGATTTTGGCTGAGTTCCTTTTTATTTGCGTTTTTATGAACCGAGACCGAGTTGAGGTCCATAAAATCGCGAAAAAGAACAAGCTCAGTATCCAGTCATCTTGACTGAAGATTTGGTAAATCGAGGATTTATTACATAATTACATGGCCAAAAAGGAAATTGTTTCTCGCACAGAGCAGAGGATTCGCTTCCTCTTGATGGGTCGTTAAACAGCCAGTTTTATAATGTAGCCTCTTCACACTGGCTCACTATTACACCCAGATGGCGGCCATTGACCATCATCACAGCGAAATGTTTAGAGCAATCTCACCATGTCACGTCATTTACCTGGCTGGGGTATTTATTACATTATTTTAATTCTTACCAGGTGTTTGATTGTCTTAGCCTTGATATTCTCAAGACTACTTGGGGAGGGGGAGGAGGTTGGATGTAGTTGACCCCCAGGGCCCAGAAGGCCAAATTGGATAGTCTTACAAACTATTGGAGCAGAATGTGACTGCTGTGATGTCAAGTGAAAACAGTTTGTTAATTGACGATATATCATTCTTTATCTGTTTAGAACACCTTTGGCTACTATTCCAATTTGTGGACCAACAAGAAGGACCATAATTCCTCTGCGGGAAAGACACTGCTTGATCATCAAGAAACAAAGTTACCCACCTACTGGAGCACACCATTCGCTAAAATCTGCCTCGCTATGAAGATCGGCCATCAAGTTAATTCGATCGTCATCAACAAACAAGCCAACTCCTTACACTCCCTGATCGCTGACGGAAACTACCGTTCGACGTCACTGGGTCGTCACACCTGGAAGAAGCTGATTGGCCAACAGGCATCGCTGCAGAGAAATTGTAACCAAGAAGGTTTCAATTCTCAGCAGGGGCGAATCAATAGCAGAGCAAGAATAGGTATCATAAGTAACGAGCAAAACGACTGTAATACCCCTGACTCAACAATTGGGTTTGGTATTGGTGATGATCCTCATGATGACAGCACCTGTGGAAACCTGGCTGATCCTTTGTATCAACCAGACAATGGCAAGAAAGACATTAAAGCGATGGGCTACATCCTGGTGCAATGAGTATACAAATGCAACGTCAAAAATATTGTTCCACTTCATATAGTCGATGATCAGTGTCCTTTACATTGCTAAATAGAAACTGTAGGTTAACTTAAGGCTTAATTCTTGCGTGAACAAATATTTGTGGAAATTAAATTAAATAAACGCATTACTCAAAACAAAACCTTTTGTTCTGTTTTTCCCCGGGGGGTTACTTCTGGGAATTCTTGGTGGGGGTAAGTCAGACCGAAAAATGTTATTTTCCAGACCCGTTTTCAGACCTAGCCTTTAGGCAGAAATTATGTTATTACTTATATTAGAGAGCAAACAAAAAAAATTCCTTAAATTCGTTTCGATTTTCGAATTCGCATATTTCTCTTTCTTTCTTACTCATTTGGAATTGAAACGGTAAATACGTTCATACACTCCCGTAGTTCCCTCGAAAACCATCCCCGATTCCAGACCAAAATGAGCAAAGTGTATACCCGTTGTCAGACCAAAACGGCGCAAAAACCCTACCCGATGGGGCGGCAAATAACTATATAGCTTATATAAGGGAGTACCCCCCCCCCGGGTGTTTCCTCTGTCTCAGTCATTCATTTATATTTTTCCACGATAGGTCTCTCTCCCGGGAACGGTCCTAGAATTTTTTAACAATAGCCCTTTGACGCATTCCCACAACCGCCTTCCCCTACCAGGGCTAGCGCCCAAAATTACACACGCACACACACTGGATGACACAATCCCGACACTTTCTGGCACTTAATCGAAACAGCGCCACCCGAATAACCTCGGCATCTTTTAAATCGAAAAGCAATAAGCGCCGCGACGCTCTTTCGAAAAATTTAATGTTTTACTGCATTTAATCGAAAGGGCTCCGACCTCAAGTAAGAGTCGCACAGGAGAAGAAGAAAAGTAAATAAACGCCTCGGCACTCTTCCGAATGAACACATTTTTCTCCTGCATTCAACCCATTCAAGCGATAGTGCCACATTTCCCTGCAATATAGCAGCGCTTATTAATTTTTGCTAATCAGACCTTTTAATATGTTGATTAATTACCATTGCTGATGTAAGCTTGAAGCATATAGCCTGTGTACAGACGTCCCCCCTCCCTCAGAAAAAATCGGGAGCTAGAAGAGACGATTTTTTCTGAGGGAGAGGGGACGTCTGTACACAGGCTAGAAGCATATTGATATAAGTTTAAAACCCGTCTTTAGAAGAAATGAAAGTTCAAAACAAAACAAGGTTTGAACTTTCACTGATTTCTTCTTCGCAGTATGGTATTTAAATAAGTATGATGAAAGTGATGATAAAGTATCTCCCTAAACAACTTTAAATTTTATTTATCGTAGACAGTACGTACGTGATACTCCCATTAACTGAGTCTGCAAGGCTGCGTATTAAACTTCAGTCAGTTAAGTTCGCGCAAACCAAATTGTAAAAAAATCGGATGGAAATTTCGAAAGAGCGCTGCGGTGCTTATTGATTTTGCTACTTAAAGATGCCAAGGTGATTTGAGGGCGGGCTTTTTCGATTAAATGTAATGCAACAACAACATAAGCTTTAATGCATTACTATATATTTACAGTATTGCAAAAGCTTTAAGATAAAGTTACAATTTACACTAATGATAATACAATGTAATAATGATTAAAATGGCCAATCAAGTGTCATCAGTATGATTTGATAACAAATTACTAAATACTTAAATCATTACATAATGAAATAAATTTTAACAAATGTGAATTTACAGAAAAATTCTATGATTTCATCAATGTAATTATTAATTCTGTGCAAGATAGGTGAATAAAATCAACAAATTATGTTGGATTTGATTGTAGAATTTTTCCCTTGGGATTGAATACTTTGGACAAAGCAAGAGAAAATGAAATTCGTCTTCAATTATACCATAGTTACAAACAGGGCAAAATCTATCATTGTGGGGAGTTTGATGATATCTTCCAGTTTCAATCATGAGTTTGTTGTTATTTGTACGAATTTTCACTGAGTCTTTCCTTTTGGTTGAATTTCTGGTTAAGTCTAGATAACTTGAAATTTTATAATCATGTTTAAATATGCTGTAAAATTGTAGTTTCTTAGAATGATTGTATGTTGCCAATATGTAATATTTTTTGTTTTATTGTATTTATATATATAATGGTTGATCTTAGCTTCACTTAAATTATTAGGATCAAAATCGGGCAGGTTAAGATATTCAGATATTTTGATAAGATTATGGTAAAAGCTATTTTTACCATTATAGTGAAGCTCTTGCGAGGTACGAAAGGCTTGTTTAACAATAGTATATCCTCGTTTTTACGCAGAAGATAAAATATGAAATAAGGAATGTTTTTGTAGATATTAATAATTAATGGCAATCGTCCTAATTCACTTCTACTTGCAACATTTATTGCTTATTTCTCTTTGAGACACGGGATCGCCCGTCCATTGACTCGACGGCTGTGCTATGTTGATGAGCCCCAGTAAGGGCGAAACAGCTGTCCATGGCTGCCACTGCTCGGGTGATATGGTTGTGCGCATACGTAAGTTACTGGCCTTACCGCGGAGTTGATACGTGTGCCTCAGTCTTGAAATTGGTATTGAAATCGATTTTGGTTCTAGTTAGCGCGAGATTCGAGTTAGCGAGGGTTCAAGTTATCGGGAGTCGACTGTATCAGCGGGAGAGTAAAATAATAAAAGCTTTCTGGGGGTGTATAATTTTTGAGAATACTCGCGAGAAAAACTTCGAGATAAATTTCGTCCCCGTCCTCAAATCTAAAGCTCACTAACAACATTATTCATGACTCACCATGCACACGACATCTTCTAATGCAATGACCAACATCAACTCTTGTTTCGTACATAGTTCCTCTGAAGTGCACATGTTCAGCAGACACACACCTGCTGCCTCTTTCACGTGGCGCGCACGCGCAATTCATAGCGCTAATGATGTCTTGCAGACCACTCAAATTCCTGATTGTTGTCACCTCTGAAGGAGAAGCGATGCAGAGGTTTATGTCTAGGCAGACCTGTTTTAGGGAAAAAGTGATGGGTGGGACAAGGTGAGTTTTTTTTTTTCATCATAACAACAACAACAGCTTCATTTGTACCGAACTTATTTTTTACAACTGATTACCAGGACTGGCCCCTGTAAGTTATACTAACAATTATAATGATGATGATTAAGGATAATAAGAAGAACAAGAACAAGAACAAGAGCACGAGTTGTCCGAAATAAACGAAAAACGTGTCTAGAATAATAGGGTAGCAGTACCGATGAGTTACGCAAACAGTAATAAATAGAGTCTGAGATTTAGCATCGGCTGACTCGTCCACCATTTGCCTGTTCGCTGACCCTTGGCGCTGAAGGAGCCGCAGTGTCACCTGGGATTGGAGAGGTCCGTCCCTCTTCTGGATTTGTAGGCTACAAGCAAGTTATCGGTAGCAATGAACGGGGAAGGGTTTCATTTCTAAACTTCCTTTCTTCCATTCCTTCTCCTCGTCCCATCCTCACATTTGAGAGATCTCGCTTGCAGATAGATCCCTCAAAACCATGGAATTAGAAAAGGCTCGGATGGAGAAATCCCATTGAGGCTGCCGGAGTTGCCAAACGACTACTTAAGACTACGGGACCGTAGCAATAGGCAGACTGCAAAGCATTCGCGTTTTTACTTGGATCGCCGCTCACAAAGCGCGAATAGCTCAATGCGTGGCGGATTCTCGCGCGTTAAGCGCGCGATTTTATCACGCGTGTCACGCATGTGCGTGACTTTCTCGGCCACCATTCGTTGGAAACTGAAACTAATTCCAACACGATTGCTTCACACACTAACTCTATAATTTTCCCCAGAATCGAAACCTGTGAGAAGCTTCTATTTCTTTTGTCTAGAATTAGCTTTAAGCTAAGCTGGATGTACAACGTCTATTACCCAACCTGTTCCTTTTTCCATTTTAAATCTCGTTTCGCTTCCACGAGGCTCGTTCTGCAGGTTGTCACCTGGAATTTCTGACCACTTCCTGCAAAGAATAACATAATAAGGATAATAATTTATGCATGGTGTTTGAAGCATTAATTAACATGGACCACAATGCTAACAGCCTAGAATAGTACAACGACTTGAAGGCACGTTCGTCTTGAAAAGAACATTTTGTCACGTTCATACTTAATCAGGATCTTACGTACAGTAGTTTTTAATGTCAAGTGGCCCTTTAAAGCTTAAACATGTTTTTATTAACGACTTAACTGCAATCAACTTAAAACTGATATTGATTTTTGTTATTGTTTGCTCTAACACAGTCTCCTTCCCCACGTGCAGTTAATAACTACTCAACGCTAGAAGTTCCCAGTTTAGTTAACACTCGATAAAAATGTTGCATGCATGCTCTTTCAATTCAACTGTCTTTTCTTTCAGCTCTTTTTTTTATCAAATGATTTAACTAACTGTTACTACATTTGACACAAATATAAAATTTACGGTGACACTTAAATTGTTTTGACATTTAATTTGTAGCGGAGTATAGTTAAGATTGAAATACTTTTTATTCTTCCTGCGACCTTGGCTTTACAATCCAGGGATACGTGAACAGAAAACACATTTGTCAATCAAAACTAAAAACACTTTCTTTTATGTAACCTCAAAGGAAATATGTGCTTAATATCAAGTGTTTTGATGCCTAACGTCCTAGCGCTGAAGCATTTTTCAGTTTTCCAAGAATTAAAATGATATTGTCTTCAGTAATTCACTTCGTAATATCCGGGCATCTCTTGACGCTGTCACCCTATTTTGCAATCAATTCAAAGGTGACAGACCATAAACGATTATTTCCTGTATAACTGGAGTTAGACCTCCAGACTAGACTATCGTCTTGTATGAAGCAGCTCCCAAACAAGCAATTTATGTGCCTCCCTGATCATTTAAGTGGAACAGGTAGAGGCTGAGTTGTGTCAAATGTAAACAAGATGGCTTGATCATGCGTAATCAATGCCATCCAACTAATTATCTCTAGACCTTCTTCGAT